CCCCAAAACCCCAAAACCCCAAAACCCCAAAACCCCAGTTCACCAAGTCATGCCTGAAAAGACTAAAGGGTACACCTCAAAGCTTAAAAAGAGTCATATCTACGAATTTTCAATTATTTAATCTACAAGTCACTCTCTTTAAACTATGTAAGCCTGAAGCTAACCACTGAGCTTAGGACTGGGGGTAGGTCAGACACAAGCTACCACTAACCAGGCTGATGAGGCAGAAGGGATAAACAGCAGATGTACATTCTCAGCAAGACTTTTATTTCTAGTCATCAAAGTCCTTTATGAGTGAAGCTACTACTTTATATTTCTATCCTACTGTTTCTATTTTTGGTAAAAAGGGGAAATCTTGCTTAATGTTGAGCTTAATCGATGAATCGGCATGGAGATATCTCGATTTGAGTATATAAACCTTTGCAATTCAATTTATGCTAGTCTTAATTTAATGCTACAATAATAGACTCAAAAATAACTTGATTGTACAAAAAGAACCATGAATCCTTCGATTCGAATCTTAAAGAGCTTAAGCATGTTCTGGTATCTCTATTTGTATAAAATTCTTCAAAGATATTAACTTTTTATATTTACTTTGTCTACCATCGAGATTATGGCTGCCTCATCCCAATTCAAACCATAAACTAGAATAATTTTTAATTAAAATTTTCACTTAAATATTCAATAGATTTTCTCAAAGAACTAGAATTAATGCTGGACTGCAAGATGACTCTTCCAAGGGCTTTTCAAGCTTTCTCTATTAGTATGAATCCCAGCAAAAGCTTTGTTAATAATTTATTACCTAAAAAGTTCCTTCTTTTATGCTATGAACCAAAGCTTCAGCCTCAAAACAAAGGTGGTGACTTCAGGAAATTTCTCTTAACATAGTAGAAAAATCTCGTTCTGTAGTGCAGAAATTAAATAAACCATATATTTCTGAGGTATCCAAGAGTTTCAGGTGAAGAAAAAGAAGGGAGCGAGCTCTTCCTACGCTGATAACTCTCTCCCTGATAGGTTTATATAGCAGGAGAAATTTATCAATATTGGAAATATTTGGATTTCTTGAGTAAACTATCCATCGTTCGCTTACTTAAATTTCTACTGCTTCTTTCTTAGATTTCTGCCTTTAAGACAAGGTTGGTGACTTTGGATGCCTGACCTTGTTAAAACATCAAAGAGGAAAGATACAGGATGTCTTGATACATTTTTATTGCTGTAAAGCAACATATTTTGAGCAAAATGCGACCTTGGTTGAATTTAACAGGAAATCAGTAAATTTACTACCTCAAGCACCTTGCTCTTGATCCCACTAAGTCTCTTATAATCCTTAAGAATGATGCAAGCTAAGAATTTTAGGCATGTACATTGACCTTTAAGGCCTATGGAATGGAATTTGAGCTCTTTTTGAGAAAAATAGAGAAGCCGTTTTGTGTCACCCACAGATTATTTACATAAGGTAGACTTTATTGAGTTCACCATGGTCGTTACATAATTTTATGAAATTCTGATATTCTGTAATATTAGCTTTCGTCTTTATTTGAACATTGAGAGGATAAGATAGAATTAAGGAAGTCATTTAGAAGAGATGTCCTTCTGTATTTCTCTTAAATTCTGCTTTTAAAGTCTTCTGAAAATATCAAAAAGGGGATTTTGAGAAAATTGTCTAAGCATGTTCTGGAGCGATAAAGGGTCAGAAGGATCTCATTCTCAGCTTTAATAATCAAGCTGGGTCATCCTCGTGACGCTTCATGTTGAATTTGGGTAAAAAGTTTATGAATTTCTGATCTGAAGTTCATTCTGAAGCTGACAATTATTTTAGAAGACAAATATTTTAATAGAATTCAATAGAAGAGTTACGGTTCATACAGCCATATTAGGGAGCTGAAGGCTCCTAAGAAGGCAGGCCTAAGAAATAACTTGATACTTTACTGGCATTTGAACATCTTTTAGCTCTCTTCTTTCTCATAAAGTGATTCTTCATGCCAAATATTTTAGTAAATCCAATTGTAGTAAGCCTTCATCCCAGAAGCTTTGAGTTAGGCAAGGAGTAGCACTTATGATAAGTAGTCTAGCTTTAAAAGCAACCAAAAGAGCAATCTGTTCATATCCTAATAACTTTTCTTATTTTGCCGAGTCTATGTAAACCATGAAGTCAGAAGTAAAGAAATATTTATTGAGATATCTGACTAAGAGATGTCAATTTAAAATTGCCTTCTAAGGATGGTAAGAGGAAAATAATGAAAATATTGCCTCTATAAGACCTTTGGCTGGGTAAACCATGATTATGGACTAGATAGGGAAAAAATCTATGAAATAACTGAAGATACATTCCTTTGGTAAACTGCTTTTTATTAGAAGAGAAGCCAATTAGTTAGTTAAAGAGTGGACCGTAAGTATTTTGCCTTTAAAGAGCGAGTTTTGGGTGACAATTGATCCCCTTTTGTTAAGTATAAGGCCATTTTCACAGGTTGTAAACCGCTTTTTATTCAGTGAAGATATTTAGTCTCAAAATTTGCGTCATTAGAGTCCTATCGTACATCCTTTTTAACAAAATTTGATTTATTCCATTTTTAATCAGAGGTATACTGTCTGACCTCAAAACAAGAAATTAACTTTGCAGCCTCTGTTTAAGGTTGCAGACTATTTCTGAGACAATTTTTAGCAAAAAGTTTATTTTTCAATCTGATCGCTAAATTCCTGTAGATTTGGGGTGAAAATTTTCATGGTTTACTCCCAAATGAAGAGATTATATGGTTGTATGGAAATTATTAGGTTTACATGGTAGTATTACACTATATAGACTCTTGACTTCCTCTCTAAAATTTGTAAAATTCATTTACTGATATTACGGTTTATCTAAAACAAAGGGATTACTATCCCAACAGAAAGAACTTGCTGACCATTTTAAAAAGTGATAAGCATGTTTGAGCTATCTGAAGTAAATGATACTTAAACCTGAGCCTGCAACCCGTTTAGCTGTCGTTTAGTGGGATTTCTAGATGTTATTAATCGACAATAATCTATGAGGTTTGTCACCAAGTCATGTTCGGTTAACTCATAAGTCTACGATACCCCCCATTTGAACATTTTTTTCAAATTTCTAAGCACAATATGAGTATATCTGGTAAACGGATGTCAGAGAAAGAATACTAGGAGATTTTAGGACAACTTATTAGGACAAATTATTGTTATTTGATTCAATAGAGGGATTTTGGTGGAGCTTACAACTTTAAAAGTTCTCAAACCTGAGATTTGTTGTAAGAAAAGTTTGGCTTAGCCTTAATTCCGTGGAATATTATGGCCAATTTATCATAAAGAGCTGCAGCTTTCTCTTGGGTGCTCTCGCTGCCTGCATAACTTTTCTTTCCTCCAATGACAATAAATACTTGCCAGGATTTCCCATTTGCAGAGACTCCTCTGTAGTTAGAGCCTCTAAACTTGCTGCAAGATTTTGTCTTAAAAGATACCTCTTTGCTGTTGGCCATGAAGACTAGTTCATCACTTTGTTTTTGATTTACTATTTTCTGTAGTTGTCTCTTAGATTTCAATTTTTGTAATCCGTGTTTCTTTGAAATCTTCTCTATGGTCTCGATTTGGCTAGAAGTCAGCTCACTTGAATCGGACTGTGGGAGGTTCTTTAACAAACAGTTAGAATTTTCAGATGTACTGAGAGATCGAATAAACTTTTTCATAATTTACTACTATTTAGAAAGTTATGATGCTTACATTTAGTTGTTCCTTCTTGCTAAGGCATGTTGCTCACATTCAGTAGTTCTTTTTCGAAGAGCTAGAACTGCTGTCGACTGCTTGTCTACAGTCTAGTCTAGTAGCGGTTCTTGGCTGGACACTTTGGAGATAAGGTCTCATGAACCCGGAAATATATGGTGAATATCCATATGACTCTTTCACTACCGATGCATGATGGACTTGTGGCATAACAGTGTACAGCTCAGAAATTTCTACTACTGGAATATATCCTTTGTTTTCAGTGTTCAGATAAGTGTTAATAGACTCCAATGAAAAGAACTGCTCTGGTCTAGGCTCAATAACAGGAACTTGGGTAAACCTTTGAGAGGATGATGGGTTTAGTAGCACTCTATATCATTTTAGAACAAATTAAGAGATCTTAAACTTACCTCTCATTTAGTTCTGATATTGGGAGCATGTTCAGAATTTCGTTTGGCTCTATATAAGACTATCAGATTTGGTTGTCAAACGGGAGGGCTTATCGTCTCCAATAATAAGGTAAATATCACCCATGAAAAATTTCATGGCCAAAAATAGTAAGTGAGTTCTTACCGTTAACTGTAAACTGGTTATTTGCTGGTGGATAAAAATTCATTTGGTTATATTTTATTAATTATGATTTCGTTCTACACTTATAACGCCTGTGGGGTTTTGGGGTTTTGGGGTTTTGGGGTTTTGGGG